AACAGTATTTTATTTAACTTTATTAAAACAGTATTTAACTTCATTATAACAGTATTTTATTTAACTTTATTAAAACGGTGTTTTATTTAACTTTAACAGTATTTTATTTAACTTTATTAAAACAGTATTTTATTTAACTTTATTTTAACAGTACTTCATTTGACTATGATAATCGTGCTTTCTTTAACGTTATTGTTACTGTAGTTTATTTAGTAGTTCACTATTATACAGTAGTTTAAAGGAGATTTCAAAATAATGAGATATATGTTTTGTATTGTGATATAACCTAAAAATATTGCACTAATATTTATAGGCCATGTCACCCAGCCATACTTGTTAGTAGGATAATTCGTTGTTGGTTTTGGTCTTTTAATGGGATTTGTTGACAGTAATAAAAATATGGAATATCACAAGCATTATTCTTAAATGGAAATAAGTAACCCTGCTTGTTTTCAGTGCTAGCTCTGTTAAATGAAGTGTCTCTCAGTGAGAGGGTGCTTTTAAATGCAGTATGGTCACACTTGTCTGCATAAATAAGTTCATATACAAATAAGAAACTGGAGGAAGAGTGTGCAGAAACCACTTTGTGACAGATTATAAGCAACAATGTTTGTGAATAGGCAACAAGTTGCTTCTGTTCTATCACCACTAATGAGTTTGATTTTTACCTCTGCAGGTACTTGGAGGTGAGCGGGGAGCTGCTGGAGGAGGAGGCGCAGCGGAAGCTGGAGCCCACGGCCCTCAGCTGCTTCCTCAACACAGCAGCGTGTAATCTGAAGATGCAGCTGTGGCAGGACGCTGTGGACAGCTGCAATGAGGTAAATCTGTTAGTGGGACTTATGTGTTCTAAAAGTGAGTAAGGGAATGTTAAGTTAGTGGTAGTACTCAAAATATCTTGTACTTACAGTTGTCCAACATACTTTGACTTCTGGCAGGATAAATTTTAGTGTTTGGGGAAATATAACGAGCTCTAAAAAATACTGAAGTCACAAACTAGTATTGACAGCTCTAATAGAATATTAAAGGAGGATTAATCTCTGATGTGCATTTCTGTGTTCCAGGCTCTGGAGCTGGACCAAGCGAACACTAAGGCACTTTTCCGGAGGGCCCAGGCCTGGCAGGGGTTAAAGGAAAACAGCAAAGCCATGGTAACATTCACACAAGCACCTCGCTCATTAAATTTAAAAAATCAGAAGCCTTTTGAACAAGAGACCTTACAACACGACAGTTCAACATCTAGAGAATGATCATTGTCTGTATTTGTGGGCAACCTGGATCTATACAGCAGTTTTTGTATTGTAGGTCAGCATTTGACTGACGCAAATAACTATGCTTATTTATTTGATTGCAACGTGTCCTAGTTTATAAAAACTATAATCCAGGTGCACTGATTTTGGAGATGTTGAGTATTTGGAGCAGCCTGAGGTCAGTCTGACCTACCTAATTGTGTCTCCGTACTTTCCAGATTGAACTGAAGAAAGCTCAGGGAATAGCTCCAGAAGACAAAGGTGGGTAATCTGTCTCTAACACTTTTGCTGTTTGCTCAGCCCTTACTCATGCTGAGAGTGCTGCAAAAACTTTCCTCCTTCTCCCCCTCATTTGCATTTAGTTAACTCATTTGAACATTTTATGCATAATCACATAGATTATTCAAACTTCTTATGCGAGCTCATGAAGAAAAACAGTCCAGGACTGCAGAAAAAAATGTTCTGTTTGTTGTTTGTTTGTTGGTCCTCCTAAATGAGCTTTATTGGGGAATTAAGTGGCCGTTTTCTGTGTGAGCAGCATGCAACCAAAACATTATCAAAGACCAGTTTTAAGGATATATAACTACATTAACTTCCTGAGCTCTGATCATTTTGAAGCAAACAAAAACACTAACAGCTAAAGACAGACGACTCTGATGTAATATTAAAACTCCCTCAGCGACCAGTGGTTGAAACCTGATGCAGTCGAGCAAAAAAGGATATTTTGGTTTCAGTTTCTTTTTTTAAACAGACACTTTATCTACTTGTATCTCAAACTCACTGGCACAAGACAGCCTGTAATGCTCTAAGTATTTTAGTGTACACAAGTGTCGTTCAAGAATAATTAATTCATACTTTTGTACTGATCAAAGTCTTTACCAGGGACATCCATCTTTTTTTAAGATTATTCTTTGAGCTTTTTGCCTAGACAATTTCCAGCATGAAGGGGGGAGAGATCCAATTTCTAATGAACTGAGTCTATTTACATGACAGTGGTGTTTATGTGGTTATTTTCACTTTGGTAGCAGCATATGGCAAGCCGTTTTAACATTTAATCACTAAGTCCGACTATCCGGAATTACCATTATAGATATCTATAACGTCATTGTGACTAGTATGAATTTTAATTTAAGATATCTGTAACGTCATTCTGACTAGTCAAAACTGAATGACAGATATCTATAACGTCATTCTGACTAGTCAAAACTGAATGACAGATATCTATGACGTCATTTTGACTAGTCAAAACTGAATTACAGATATCTATGACGTCATTCTGACTAGTCAAAACTGAATTACAGATATCTATGACGTCATTCTGCCTAGTCAAAACTGAATTACAGATATCTATAACGTCATTCTGACTAGTCAAAACTACAGTTACAGATATCTGTAATTTTAGATATCTACAACGTCATTTTGACTAGTCATAATTCAGTTGCGGATATCTATAACGTCATTTTGACTAGTCATAATTC